AAAGTCAGAATTCTGTTTTTTTCCCATACTATACTGAAATAAAATAAAAAAAAATCTGTTAACTTTTTTTTTTTCAGTGGCCTTAATCCTCTTTCGTAGGTAAGAGAGACACTTTGCCAATGGAACAAGACTATTTACACTTATATTAATAAAAAATAATTGCATTGTCTTATTTCGAGTGCATATTATGGAATTATCTTATTTTAAGCATAAAAATACTCATTCCAATGGCAAACCAAATCTTGTTTTCCTACTCAAATTAAGGGTAAATACACTTAATATAAGAAATGTTTACTTATTTCTAGATCGTTTTTCCAGTGTAGGTTGATGGGGGGGATTAGAGACCTCATGATGACTCAGCATTAAAAGAGAGATAAGAATCACTTTATGAAAATTTGGGTGCAGCTCGCAAATAGAGCAAACTGTTGTAGAGGAGTTTTCAAAAGTAGCCAAAAATAACATTTATATGAAGTTTTATTTTTTTTTTAAAGATCAAAAGCCTAAACAAATATTATTTTGCATAATACAGCCCATTTGAACTTTCTCATTGTACTTTATGCATTCTCTCTGTCTGCACTAATGAAGATTCCCTCACTTTTTACTGCTATATGTTATAAAAAATGGGTTATAAATAAAAACAAAAAAAGAAATATTGGAACTGTAACTATATAGTGATATGTTTACATTACTTTTTTTTTTCATTGCAATGTTTTTAATCACTGCTGCTTACTTGCACTTTAAAAAATGAAATAGTCTAGAGACGAATTTTCTTTTTGTTTATACTTGTGTGTCCTGTCATGATTTATTTAAGGATCTGACCCAAAATGCAGAGAACCATTCAGAGAGCAAGGCAAATGTTTAAACAGGTTTATTATGGTAAGGGTTGAGGGGTTGGATCTGTTACTCAGAGGGCTGGTGAACTGGAACTGGAAGGGAGGAGGGAAGTTCACAATGGTTAGTTCAGGTACCGTGGGAAACTTGGATGCCGTAACGATAACGCTGGTAAGGGACTCACGTTTGGGGGGTTCCTCCCTCACTTTGAATCCGGTCTGTGTGGGTTGATCCAGAGGTAGTGACTCGTTGGACATTTGTTGGACCTGGAGGAGCTACAGAGCGGAATGTCACTCGGAAATCCAGGAGAACTTGAACTTGTGGAGGTTTATCCCCTGCTCAGTGTGAGACTCAAACAATCCTTCAAGGGGGAGAAGGCCAAACATCCAGGTAGCAGGATGACTTCCTGCCGAAAAGGCAAAGACAAAAACACAAGTTTAGGCTCAGCGAATAACAAAGACTCAGTTTGACTCAGCAAAACTCAGCTTGGCTAGAGTACCCAAAACTGGCAAACACTCTGGCCCCGAGGTAATGACAATCCACTGATTATGCACTACTGTTTATGCTCTAAAAACATTCTAAATGACTTTGTTTCGAGTAAATTATGGACGCTACCCACTCAGGACACTTGGAATACATTGGACGAGCAGTATGGAGGAATATTGACACGTTTTTCACAACCCACATCCTTCCATCAGTCCTGTCCTCTGCTTTAAACTGCTCTGAGATCAATTAGTCCCTCCAAGCATCGTCTTTACCTTCTCACCATCATCCCAGAGATTAGTTCAACTGATGACCACTTCAAGCTGTGTCACTGTTCTA